TTTTTTTTTTTATAATTAATTTGTAATAAAAATTTGCACTTGTAATTTTTTTCAATTTTTAGATGTGGAAATTTTTTATTCAACTTTTTTTTTACAATAATTTATTACCTAGTTATAAAAATATAAAAAATTATATTGAAAAAAAAAATTCTGCATGAAATTTAAAAAATTATTCGAGCAATTTTTATTTTATTAATTTTTGAAAAAAAAAAAAAAAAAATTGTCAGATGCTTTATAATTTCAGTAATAAATTTTTGAAGGTTCAAGATTACTTGAATTTTTTCAAGGAGAGACGAATTTAATGGAGAATAAAGAGATAATTATAGTTATTATTTAGAAGAAGAAAATCGAAAGTATTTTCATGAAAAATAGTCCCCCTGAGATAACCTTGGGATAAGCAGCTGGAACACTATGAGCATGCTTGTTAGTGTTAAATAGTAGGGAGATTTAATTGTAACTTTTGATGAATGAATAAAGGAAGTACAGTAGTATTTTCGAATCCATGAGAATAGTTATGAAATTTTCATATTAATTTTTTTTTCTTTTTAAATTGTTTTTTAAATTTGTGTAAGGTACTAAATTTTTGTATTTTAAGTAGCAAGTTTTAGCTGAGAATTAATTTTATTTTGTATTATCGATTAGTTTTCTAATTCCTAGATGAGAATTGAGATTGGATTGACTAACCCGACAGATGTCATGGCCAAATTTCAAAGAATTTGTTAGTGACTTCCTTTTTATCAGCAAATTGAGTTAATTTCATTGTTAAAAACCTTACTGGATTTTATGTCATCTGATGATCATAAAATTATATGAAGTGAAGGATTAAAAGTTAAAACAATTGTAATTTTATTTTAATTTAAACTGGATTGTTCCAGATTTTTTCAAAATTATCATATTTTTTTTTTTTAATTAAAAATAAAAATACAAAAATTAATTTAGAAATTTGTCAAAATTTGTCTGACCTTCGCAATAGAAAATTTTTTTTCGTCAAAGCGTCTCTAAGACTAACAAAGAAAAAAAAACAATAATTACGCTATATTTATTCTTATAATTGTGAGATTAAAAAAAAAAACCTTCAGAAAAGAATCTTGTTTTGTTCCGAATTTAATAATTTCAGCTCTTATAATTTTTATATAATGACATAAATTTTTGTATTAGAAATTTATATAATTACTTAAAATTACATGGAATTAAAGTTAATATAATTTTTAATAATTATATTGAATTATGCGTGACTAAAGCCCATAAAATTTTATACAATTATGTAAAATTGTATGTTGTAATAAAAATCCATTTAATTTTATATAACTATCTGAATTTATATATAACAAAAATTCATATGATAATGTAAAATTATATGTGACAAACTTATATAATTAATGCCAAAAATTTTGTCGCAATTTAAAAATAAATGTTTAATATTACGGCTAAAATATTGGTCCTATAAGAAAATTTTTCAAATAAAGATTGTTCAAAATTTAATTTTATAAAACAAATATTTCTTATGATTTAAAAAAAAAAAAACCAAATATTCCGCTGTGATTTCCAAATTAAGACTCATAATGAAAGGTTCAAAATTTTTTGATAATTATGAATCTTATTTTTAAAATTACGGTAAAATTGTTGATCCTAAGGAAATAACATAAGGGGCATTTTTTTATAAAACTAAATTTTGGACAACTTTTGTTTGAAAAATTTTTTTAAAGGATCCATACTTCTGCCATAATATTAAAAATTTTAATCATTAATTGTGAATTGTTATTTTGAGTCTGCGGCAAAAATCTTGACGTTATCAATTATATAAATTAATTTGTGATAGAAATTTCATAAAATGATGTGGAACAAAAATTTACATCAATTTTTAAAATTACAGTAGCGCTCAAAAGTATTTTGACAACATTATGCGTTAGTTTTTTTCAACAATGTCGAAATACTTTGGAGCCACCATTTTCCTAATATTTTAAAAATTAAACTTTTTTTTGTTACGAACAAAGACCACTTTGAACACTATTCTGAAGATTATTCAAAAGCTGTTAAAAAAATAAATAAATGATTATTGTGCTTCATATTTATTTTTAATTAAACCATTGAATATATTTGTCAAAATACTTTTAAGAGCTACTGTACATAAAATTATATGCTATGTAAAATTATATCCGACGAAAATTTAAATAATTTAAACCAATATATAAAATAACATTTGAGTAAAATATATAAAATTATTTGATAAGGTAAAGTACCCAGTAGTCGAACAGGTTTCAGAGTAAAACGTATTTGACACTACTTTTGATACATAAAAATGTAATTATTAATTAAAATTAGTTATTTTAATGAAAATATAAACAATTTTGAATTGATTGAAGCGCAAAATAACAAAGATAATTAATTATTTATATTTTGACAATGTTTTTAAAATAGACTATGAAAGGAGTAGTAGTTGAACAATCAATTCTGACAAGCCGCAGTAGTTGAACACTCCGGGAGCAGTAGTTGAACTAATAAAATATACGGCAATAGGCACACCAAAAATTTTCAACGATGTATTGAAATATCAAAAGAATTATAGCATATTATTGAATAGTATTAAAAATAATACTACGAATATTTAATATGTTCATTTAAAAATCAGAAATATTTGTATTTAATTTTTTAATTACATTTTTTATGAATGACAAAGTAAATTTTCAATTATAAATCAAAAAACTCAATTAGAAACGTTTAATAATTTTTAATCACACTTATTTTTAGCTATAAAACTTATCTAATTTGCAGTAATTAATACAAATCACAATGTTGATCACTAGTCTATAAACCTATTAGGGATTAGAGTGCTGTTAAAATTATACGGCCCCAGCTTATTCAAGTTCTGGATACCGCTTTGAAAATTTTGAGGTATAGTTAAACGCTAAAATTTAATATAAAAATTAGAGTTTATGTCTTTTCAAAAAATATGTATTATTTAGAAAATACTATTTCATTAGATGGTACAATTTTTTTTAATTAAAATGATGATATACCGTTTTTTTTACTGATTGTTCGGTTTACGGTTTAGTACCTTTTTTATAAAAAAATAGCGTCTATCGGCTACTCTCGACTTTGAAGTTAACAAAAATATAATTGTTTTGATTTATAATTGAAAAAACTTGCAAAAAATCAATTACTGTATTATTGAATAATTATAACATGCGCATATTGCTCATAATAAATATATGGATTTTGTATTACAACAATTTGAAAAGTCTGTTCAAGTACGGGTCCCATTTTTATAAGTGTTCAAGTACTGGGTACTTTACCTTACACAGTAAAAAATTTTGCGTCATTGCGTCAAAAAATGTTGTGTTAAATATTTAACACTTTTTTGTGTTAATTTAACACTTTTCTGTGTTAATTTAACTACAATAAATAGTTAAATACACATATAAGTGTTAAATATTTAACACAAAATTTTTTGACGCAATGACGTAAAATTTTTTACTGTGTACTAAAATTTATATAATTTCATACAATCACTAAAAAATTCATAAATTTCCTAAATTTCAATCTCTAAACTAAAAAATTTTTTTCAGATACAAAAATGGGTGATAGTTTTCAAGAATTCATACTAAGTGATCTCAACTCAAGTCAAATGAATAACCTAATAAAGCAAGAGCCCAGTGGCCTAGAGGTAACATCAGCATCAGCGTCAGTACCAATCCCAGGAAGCCATCGCGGAGTTCGTGGTATCTATGACCAATTTTCGCCATCACCTCTGACTCTGCCCTCAATGTGGGGTTGTCGTGTCGAGCCTGAGGACTACTCCATAGACCCAGAGCAACTCGGAATAACATTCAAAATGGAAGACGACGACATATTCCAGGTAGACAAAGCCGACCTAATTCAAGGTCCTACACTGGCGGAGTTGAACGCCAACGATGACATTCTGCTCGGTGATTTGAATTTCGACGATTTACTCCTGCCTGAAGAACGTATGCAGCCGGTTTCACCACAAACTGTGGTTCCACAGATACCTGTTCCACTTGCACCAGCACCACTTGTTCTTGGTTCCAATGTTGGCTTACTGACAACTGGGATTAGCGGTTTCGCTGCTAGCTATCCTAGCAGTACGATTACTTTCAAACCAACGACGACCTATTCGACAAACTCTGCCGGGACTTTTGATAATGAAGTTGTTTATGTTAGTCCAAGCACCAGTCACATTGCTGGTAAGTATTTGGCACTAAATATTATAGCAAGCAATTGATATTGATAAAAAAATTTATTCAGCTCAACACATACACTCTTGAATAACACAAAAAAATATCTAACTTTATTTTTTTAATCTATATTATTAAGAGAATAAGAAAAATGTTGTCTCCGGGATATTCATATGGTAAAATCGGTTTTTTTTTTTGTGAAATTTAGTATCATTGCAAAAGTTTTGACTTGAATTTGTGCCTTTTCAAGGTTTCATATCAATCTCACCGATAGTCAATTTAGTATGATAAGTATTTAGGCTTCATTCGAAAATTCTCTATTTCTAGATACATAATTAAGAAATTATCTTGTATCTTTAGAACTATTGACATTTTCAAAATTATAAGCTCACCCCGACATTACACTCATCGAAACCTTTCATTTGAGTACCCACATCAATTTTTCATATATTTATATATTTATGTGCATGCGTAAATATTTATTTTAAGTATAATTAAAAATTATTAATTACATACTGAACATAAAATTAAATTACTAGATTTTTTTAGATCAAGTTGTTACGCTGCCTGGTCAATATTTGGTTCCTTAATCCTACTTTATTTTTTTATTTTAATTCGCAAGTAAACTATTTGACAATATCATTTTTTTAATTTTCAAAAAAAGCTTCTATCAAGTAATAAATTTATTATTAAACTACTATTTTTTTATTTCATGTTATTAATTGAATACTTACGCTAAAAAAAATAAACTAGAGCCACAGATGACAATTTTAAGACTTTGGTTATAAAAAAAATTACATATAATTTTTTATAAGACAAATAGGCACTAAATAAACTTAAAAAAAATGTAAATGTAATTTAATTTTAGGACATAATTTAAAAACTCACAAGTGAACTTTCAATTTTTTTTCAGAATCAATGGATTCATGCTACGACATTGGAAGTTCAACAGCAAGTTCATCTACTTCGCCACATATGATACCTACCAACGTCAATATCGCTGTGGATAATCCATCAATGAACAACAAACCTGTAACAGTTGGTCCAACCTCAACTTTACACGAATTGCTGATGAGGAAAGTTGAAAGCAATACTATGAGCCCGATAAAAAGAGTGGACCCAGTACCAATGGACATTGTCAACAATAGCAAAATAAAAGTATCAAGATTATCTATGTCTGCGCCAACACAGAGCCTAGGGTTGGAGCAAATATGGGCCAGACGTGAACCAAGACGTCATTTGTTGAGCACATCGAGTATTGGAGTAGCTGAAGTTGAGTCAACAAGCAGTTTGAGCACTGGTGGTGCGCTAAGTCCAGATCCTCAAATTGATCCACTTGGACAATTGGATCCACTTAGTCATGATGAAGGCTATGAGGACAGTGATGATGATAGTGATCATTATGATGATTACAGCAGTGATAATGGTATGCTTTTTATTAAATTATTTTCAGTTTTTCATGAATTTTGATGGCTTAATATAATTATGTATGAAAAGGTATTGATGGTCAATTATAATTATATTAACCCAGATATATAATTCTTAGATAAATGTAGGACTCCCACGTGATTATGAACAATCATTTATATTATTATATTAAATGATATTTTGATATAAAATAAAAAATATAATTTTATATAATCATATAAGATAAAGTACCCAGTAGTTGAACAGGTTTCAAAGTAAAACGTATTTGACCCTACTTTTAATAATATAAAGATGTAATTGTTAGTTCAAATTAGTGATTATCATGAAAATGATAAAAACTCAATTAAGATAGATTATTTCTGCTCGTTAGATTTCTTCAAATTTATTATTTAATTAGTAATTATTTATAAGTAGGATCCACCTTATGTTTGGCCATATCTAGGTGAAAAATTAACATTTTTTATTTTTTTTTATTCTGCTTGTCTTATTCGGCGCATTTATGATAAAAAATATCGTGAAAAAAAAAAAAAAATAAAGATTTCGATAGCTTTTTTGCCTTCAAAAGCTGGAAAAAATTTTAGCTCTCATGTTTTTGGATAAAATTTCTATTTTGCCTTTTTTCAATTTTTTGATATATTTTTTCTTTGAAAAAAATAAAAAAAAACGAACAATTAAAAAAAAAAAAAATTGGTTCTCTGTAAAGTCGGTTTACGGACGATAGTTTTACGTGATAACGTCATAAAGAAACATTGATGAAAAATTGCATACTTTTATGGATTGAATTGAATTATTATCACTGAATTATTATTATTTTGTATTTAAAAATTAAAAAATTTTAAATATTTAAAAACTATTTTAACAAAAAAAAAAGGACTTATTGATAAATTGTTAATCAAAAATTGATACAATAATTTGATAATTGATATGATTATTATTATTTTTCTGCCCTCCGGCCGGAAAGTGGCAACTTTCTGGCCGCTGCGCTAAACAAAGTTGTCACATTCCGGCTACGTCGAGCAGAAAAATAGTATACACACCTTGGTCAGTAAAACGTTATCACGTCAAAAAAGTTAAATATCACAATTTTCTAAAAAGTTTATAAATTTTTTTGAAAATTTGTTAAAATTGTGATAATCAACTTTTTTTTTTAGTTGTTCATTTTTTTATGTATTTAAAAAAAAAAATATCAATAAAATGAAATAGAATAAATTTCGTTCAAAAAAATAAAAATCAAAATGGTTGACTCCAATTGTAAATATTTACCAAATTAATTTTAAAGAATATGTCATCTTCTTTATTTACATGATATATATTGAAAAAATTTTCTTATAGAACCAATATTTTAGCCGTAATATTAAAAATTTTAATCGTTCATTTCAAAATTGCGGTAAAAATTTTGGCCTTAATAATTATATAAAATTTTTTTTGAAAAAAAAAATCAAACACATTTAGTTTTTAATATTTAGTAACTATAATTTTTCATCCATATAATTTAAGACTCAGGAAGTGACGGCGAGGATCATAGCAGTATTAGAGATTCCAGGGACCCAACAGCATCATCATCAGGACCATCGAAAATGTCAAAAAAAGAAAAATATTTCTGGCAGTATAACGTACAAGCAAAAGGACCTAAAGGACAGCGTTTGATAGCACACAAACGTCTAGAAGATCCACATGTTCTCAATCAAGCAACAGACCCCGTTTTCAGCCCCAGCTGTTCACTGCGTGGCATTAAACACTCCGGTAAAGCGCGCAAGGGTGATGGCAATGATTTAACACCAAATCCACGTAAATTGTACATTATTGGTAAAGAATTGGACAAACTGTCTCGTATTATTAATGACATGACCCCAGTATCAGAACTGCCATTTCCTGCTCGGCCTAAAACACGCAAAGAAAAAAATAAACTTGCCTCACGTGCTTGTCGCTTGAAAAAGAAAGCTCAGCATGAAGCTAATAAAATAAAGTTGCACGGACTTGAAATTGAGCACAAACGGCTCATCAATGGTATTGCACAGATAAAGACGATATTAGCGGTTAAATTAACCGAGCAGAGTTCGGAGAAACAGGAAGAATTAACACGACAAATGGATAAAATTTGCAAATCTTCTACGAGTAAGTTTTTTAATTATTTATTATTTTGTTTATTCGCTCTGAGTTCAATTTTTTTCGTTTTTTTAAAGAAGATCTTGTTTTATGGAAAATTATATTTCAATTATTAGAAGCAAAGTTCTTAAAATTAGACAGAATTTTTTTTTTTAAAAACAAAAAAAAATTGGAAAAAGTTTAAAAATATTTCATTAAACCTGACAAATATTCATGTATAGTTTTATATAATGATATAAAATTATATGAAAACAATCTTTATAATTTTGTAAAGTGATAGAAAATTATATGATAATTTATATAATTTTATACATTTATATAAAAAATAATACAATAATATAATAGACAATTATATAAAATTATACGGTTTGATGTTATATAATTTTTTATTGCGATATAAAAATATATGGTGAAAATTCATATAATTTCATAAAATGGTTTAAAATTATGTCTAAATATTAACAATATAATTTTATAAACTTATATAAAAATATAATGTAATGAATGAACAATTATAAAATTATACGGATTATTCTTATATAATTTTATATGATTATATAAATGTATATGGCAAAAGTGCATATAATTTTATAGAGGCATAAAATTTTATAAAAACAATTAATATAATTTTAACTCACATAAAATATAATATGATTGAAAAAAACTCAATCATATGAAATTATACGGTTTTTGTGTTATATAGGTTTATATAACTGTATAAGAATAGATGGCGATAATTCATATAATTTTATACTCTCATATAAAAAATAATATGATAAATTGATAACATATAATAATACAAAAAAAGATCACCTAAATTATACCGATTGTTGTTGTATAATTGTATGAAAATGTATGGCAAAAATTCAAATAATTTTATATAAAATTATATTACAATAATTAATATAATTTTATACATTTATACCAAAATTAACTTGATAATATACGACAATTATATAAAATTATACGGTTTGATGTTATATAATTTTTTATTACGGAAAGGCCTACTATATAATTTTATAAACTTATATAAGAATATAATACAATGAACAATAATAAAATTATACGGAATGTTCTTATATAATTTTAAATTATTGTATAAATGTATATGGGAAAAATTCATTTATATGAATTATTTTTATACACTTACATACATAAAATATAATATGATACTAAAAAAGACAATCATATAAAATTATATGATTTGTTCTTATATAATTTTATATGATTGTATAAAAATATATGGCAAAAAACCATATAATTTCATAGAAAGGCCTAAAATTATATCAACGATATAATTTCATAAACTCATATGAAAATATAATATAACGATCAATCATAAAATTACGCGGATTGTTCTTATATAATTTTATATTACTGGATAAGGTAAAAGTCCCTATTATGAGACACTTTTCAAGGTAGGTTGAAAAGTGAACATTCCTGCGAGTAATTAATCCATTTAAGAAAAAAATACACTTTTAATCGCATTATACGATAATTTGATGATCATTAAATCAATATTCATATTGTTTTTATAGTTTTTTTGGTCAAAAATTAATTAAATTATGGTTTTTTTGGGGAACCTACATGACCCTATTTATGAGACACTTTAAAGTCACATGTCCCCAGTGTCTCAAACCACAGGACCCTATTTTTGAGACAGTTAAAAAATCAGCAAAGTTGATCAAATTTTATATATTTATCAATTTTAGACAATCGTATTTACAAAAGAAGGAATTACTTTAATTTTTAATTAACTTATAAAAAATTTTTTATCAGTTAAACAATTAATCAACGCAAATTATTGAATTAAATCTATTGTTCGTTCTTGATTTTTTTTGTCATTCCTTGACTTGAGCCATTAATTTTTTTTCTTCTTGTAATATTTTTTTATTGTTAAACTTTTCTTCTTTCATGTTTTTTCTGGATCTGAATTTTCTTATATAAGTTCCGAAAAAAAGTCACAATAAGTTAAATATAAATATGTATCATCAGTAGAGATAGTTTGATCAATTAGTTTGTCTTCACTGAAGTCTTTAGAAGTGCACTGTATTACGTTATTGCTATCAATTGATGATTCTTGAAGACTAACTTGATTAGATTCATATGTAACCGTAAAAAATTGTTCATCATTAATTAAATTATTTTGTTCACAGTTTATCACATTAAAATGATTGTCTAAGACAGTAACGGATTGTTATACGTCTTCAATAATTCAGTTTTTGTCACATGTGACCCTATTACTGCTCTGTACAACACCCACTGAACAATAACATCCTCTTCTTTTAAAGATAACACTGTCACTGGCCCAGTTCTAATTTTTGCCTTCTTAGGACTAATACTTTTTCATTTAGCAAGGGTAACAATCGGTACTCCATAAACAGCAGCTGCTTTTCTCAAGGACAACTCTGTGTCTTCCATTGCTTTTAGAGCTTTTTTTATATTTCACGAATTATAATTACTTAATCCTTTTAATTTTTTTTTCCTTCATTTTATTATTCATATTGGAACACAACACTTTTTTTTTTTTTGGTTGAATTTGATGATTGAGTTTTTGTCACTTTGGAATTTTGTTTATGCTTCATTATCTCAGCTTTTTTTTATAATTTATTTTTTACTTACTCTGAAATAATAAGAAATAAATAATATATTTTCAGAATCAATATACAAAAAAATATTATAAATTTATCCAAAAGATTTAATTAAAAAACAGAAAAACTTGTTGACAAAGTTATTCTATGTTATGATTTGAGGTTAGGCTCATGATCTAAAACTATTTGACTTAAAATACTTACTTTTAGAAAAATATTTGAGGTTTAATAGTAGCCAATATTTTATAACATATAATTATACTATTTTTATAATTAATATCACATATTAGCAATATAAAATCTTATAAATGTACACTGTCTCACTTAATCGGGAGAAGCCGAAAAACATATGTCCGTATTACACTATACACCGAGAAAAGTGTCTCATAAACCGGGGCATTCGCGTAAATAAGTGTAGGTATTGTGAGACATTCATATTTAAAATATTGTAATAAAAAAAACGCATAAATGTGTATAGAAATAAAGTCTATTACTCATCAGTTTTCAATTGATATACAATTTAATATAAAAGTAGAAGACACAATGAAATTACACTAATATAAAAAACTAGGTAGCCGTTGTCGTTTTACTATTCTCGGTCGTGGCTTTGAGCACAGATAACAAACCTCGCACTTTAATAAATATTTTTAAAAAACAGTATGGAATTAATTAACAACCAAAGTCGAAAATTGCTTTTGGAATAGATGAAATAATATATTTATTATACTTTTGGTATGCTAGCGGTGTATTTTTTTTTTATAAAATAGTATTTTTATGTAGTGTATCATAAATGGGGACATCGTCTCATAATAGGGACTTTTACCTTAATTGTACAGAGGCATAAAATTATAAAAAAACGATTCATATAATTTTATGCACTTACATAAAATATAATATGATAATAATAGAGACAATATAATATTATCTGAATTGTTCTTGTATAATTTTATATAATTGTATAAAAATATATGGCAAAAATTCTTATATTCGTATAAAAATATATGAAATTATATTACAATCCATAAAATTTTATACATTTATATAAAATTATATGATTTTATATAATAATATTTTACAAATTTTTTTAAATAATTAAAATAATCTAAATAAAAACTTTAAATTTTTTACAGAAATCCGTATTGCAAATCATTCGACTGAGTTTGTTAATAAAATTCTGGACAAAATAAAGTCTGGAGTTCCCGACGGCGGTATTGACGACTTTTAAAAAAAAACTGATACCTGAATTATCACTAACATCACCATCATCAATCGAAAAAAAAAATATACTACGACATAAAATGCCTATTCTTATTTAATATGATTTTTTATCTACTGAGAAAGAGTTATATTTTTATTGTATTGATAAAGAAATGGAGTCTACTCTTAAAAACTGAAAAATTATATTAATTGAAAAGTAATAGTTTTTAATAATCTAATAATAAGTAACAAGTATATTAATTAATGATTAAATTAGTTGGCTAACTTGGTCTACCTCAGAGGAAACGCTATACCTGCATAATTATTTTTAAACTATATTATAATAATATATATTTAACTAATATTGATATCATAGCATTCAAATGCTTAATAAGATATTTACATAAACTTTTTAGAAAAGGATACATATATATTAAATTTTGTTTTTTAGAATTTTAGGTTGTAAGAAAAAGTAATTTAAGGATATTTAAAACTAAAGTATCTATTCAATTAATATTAAAGCTCTGGTAGCTTTTTAATTAATCTTTCAAGGTTTGTTTTTTTTTTATTAAAATTCGAAAAGTTTTTTGATGATTACGAAAAAATTTTATGGTGTAAGTTATTGTACTCAGGAAAAATATTATAAATATTTTTTTTTATATTTTTAAAATTTTTAAAATTTAATTTAAGTTTTCTGAAACATTTTTCTTTCAATATTGAATTTTTTAAGGCTATAGTATTTTTCCTGAAAAAAAAAAAATTATACGTGAGTTATTCTCTATAAATGTTTGGTAAATTTAAAATTTTAAGTAAATATTTTTATCGAAAGTTTGTATTGATAAGCTTAAAAAATTATGATTATAATTTTTACTGTGAAGATTAAAATTTTTTTTTTTCAAATTCGTTTATGCAAAATTGAAATAAGTTTTTATTTTTTTATACGATTGATTTAAAAAAATTAAATCAATTTTTATTACAAAAGTTGGGAATTTAAACGAAATTTATTACTTATATTTTGAGATATAATTTTTTACACAGTAAAAAAAATTTTTATTAAGTTTATTGTAGAGTTATAAACTATTTGATGTTTATTAAAATTCAAGTATTTGTAGAATTTTTTTGGGTTGTAAAATTGTGTGAAAATGGATTTGTTACAAATTTTTTTTGTTTAAAAAAATTATATGTAGTTTATTAGAAGTTTTTTTTTTTTAAGGGTATATAGTCGGATTAATATGAGAATTCTGCTCCCCTGGCTTTTTTGACTTGTACTTAGGAGTCGATTTGATGTCGAATGAATATAATTTTTCATTCGCATCAATTTTTAGCTGTTTAACTCAAACAGTATTCGAGAATTTAAAAAAAAAAAAACCTTTTTTTTTCAAAATTATTTTTATTTTTATAGTAAAATTCGGAATTTTTTAATGATGATTTTTTTCCTGATTCTTACGAGTCCAAAACATGAAAAAATTATATGATCATGATTATTAAACAGAAATCCGATTTTTAACGGAGAAAAAAAAATTATATTTTTTTTTTTTTTTTAGCTTTCTTGAAATATGTCACTCACCAAAATTCGTCAGAAAATGTCTTTCATACTCCTCTATACTCAGGAATTTTTTTGAATTTTTTGAAGTGGTGGAACAATTTAATAATAATTAAAAAATCATTTTTTTCTCAAAATCTTGCATTTTAATAAACTTACTTTTTTTTTTAGTAGGAAATTTTTTTTTTTACCAAAACATCTTCCCAAAAGATAAACAGAAACAATCAGTAGGTTAAAGTGATTAGAAGGGTTATTAATGATTCAAAAGACACTTGAAGGTCATACTTATATATTTTTTCATACTATTGGAAAATATTTTGAATTTTGATACAGATAAAATAAAAATTATAATCAAAATAATAATTTTAAATGAAAAAGAAAATTTTCTACGTATTTATGTGTACTAAAAAAAAATATAAGTTTGTTAAAACGCAAGATTTTGAAAAACAAATTAGTTTTTAATTTTTTTTGAATTGTTTCACCACTTCAAAAAACTCAAAAAAATTCCTGAGTATAGAGGAGTATAAAAGACATTTTTTCATGTTTTGGACTCGTAAGAATTAGGAAAAAAATCATCATTAAATAATTCCGAATTTTACTATAAAAATAAAAATAATTTAAAAAAAAACAGATTTTTTTTAAATTGTTGAATTCCGTTTGAGTTAAAGAGCTAAAAATTGATGTGAATTATTTTCATTCGACACCAAATCGACCCTCTAAGTATAAGTCAAAAAAGCTATGGGGGCAAAATTCCCATATTAATCGGGCTACGCCATTTCCACCTTCGAAAAATAAAAAATAGTCAATATTAAAACACCAATTTAATCTTAAAAATTTTCAACAAATCCCTTTATTTCTTCCGAGAAAATCTAAAAACTGTTAATGAAAGTGAATCAAAAATAAATCGAGGTATTAAGATGAAAAGTTCCTGAAAAATTTTAATTAAAATAATTATATTTTTTTTTTATCTGATCGTCGTTGTTATGAAGAAGATATTGTTTATTTTTTTAATCGTTCTATGTGCCAGACTATTTTTTTTAAGTTGACTAATCTTTAAAATTATTAATGATAATGATTATTACTATTTATTTATTTATTTATAAAAAATAGACGCGTATTTTTATAAATAAATAATTAATTATAATCAATTATTATGTTATTAATAATCTCTAAGAAAATTTATTTATTTTTTCATGTGCATGTTAATTAATTTTAACTAATTTTGCTGTATTTTTTATGTTTAAAATTTAAAAAAAAAAATAAAAAAAATAGTGTACCAACTACATGTCTTCTCATTTTAAAATAAAAATAATAATTTAATTTCAACACATTTTTTTTATTCTTCTCAATAGTTTTTATAATTAATCTCTATCTTACATTAAATATTACAATAATTTATATTTATAAATAAACAATCTATTTATTAAAATACTTATGTCTTATTTGAATTATACAATTTTATTTTAAATATTTCTGTACATGTATTCTTATTAAATAAATTCCGTGAAGCAAACAAAAATTACAAAATGGTAGTTTAACCTATAAATAAAATGCGAAGAATTTATTAACCTAACAATTGCTTTGTCCTTTGGTTGTGTGCATAAAAAAATAACAATTAAATTCTAAATTATTATTAATAAGTGCAAGTATATGGCACTAATTAAATAATACAAAAAAATTATTATTGATGACAATTCGATTCAGTTTAGTGACTAGATTAATAACTTTATTTATGTTTAATATTTAATTAGGCAATTTATATGTACAAAAGCTTTAATCTCTATTTTTATAATTATTAAATTAATTTTTTTCTTTGAATATTTACAAACAAAGAGTGTTAAGCATAACAAAATACTTAAGCAATAATTTAAGAATTTTGTTGAAAAATTTTTTATGACCAACAATTGTTTTTCGAATTACCAATTGAATAACATAAATATTTTACAATTGCTGAATAATTTAAAAAAAAAACAATTTATAATTTTACCTAAAATCTTCTTACCGGGAAAAAATTTTTATAAAGTTATATGAAATTTGGTCACTCATAATTTTATATTATTTTACATTGTTTCATATAATTTTATATAGATCTATTTAGCTGAATAAAATTATATGCAAGTCTTAAAAATAAATTATGTAACTTTGTACGACGTAAAATTTTAAATAGTTATTGATGATTTTACATTGTTTCATATAATTATATTGAATTCAATATATAATAAAATATTAACTAATTTTGTATATTATATAAAATTATAAACTAGCTTTGACATGGTATAATTGTATAAAAAATTATATGTGAATTTTTAAAATATGTAAAATTATATAATTTTATATGAAGTTTAATTTTATATAATCATCAGTATTTATTCATTGCTTCATATAATTATACAGTACCGGCGGAAAATTTCCGGACAACTTTCTTATTTACTTTTTAATTTAAATATGATACATAAACAAATTAACTTGATCTATAAAGAAAATGTTATTTTATTCTACAAAGTGTGTACGATCGTGTCATTGACTTTCTTCTTGATTTATTTCACTTTTAATAATCGTTTTAATAAATTTTCATCTTGTCCGAAAACTTTCTATCTAGCTGGATACAATTGTATAAAATTATATATGAGTCTTTAAAATATGTAAAGTTTTATAACTTTGTATGGCATGTAATTTCGTATGACTTACAATTTTATATAATCATACATTGTTCTATATAATTATACATACTTATATCAAATTCAATATATAATAACAATTATGTATGATAGTATATAAAACTAATCCAGCTTTGATATGATATAATTAAACGTTTTATTATATAATTATACATATTTCTACCTATAGCGGGATATAATACCTACAATAAAAATACATGACAGTTTGAAGTTAGTCAATAGTCGAAAAAATGGGACCTGATTCCTTATTGGTAGAATATAAACCCTCCTCAGTTACTATTGGTCAATCTCCTGGTACGTGAACATATCAATATATCGATATATTGATATCCGATAGGGGGCGCGTGAATGCGCGCCGTTAAAAATTCTAGTTACATAAAATTATATGAGTTTTAGTGACCTATTAATTCATATATTTCTGTATGACCTCATATATACTTTTATATTATAATTTAAAAGTATATATATAATTATAATTTTTTAAATAAATTACACAATTATTCATAATGAAGATACTATTACATTAAACAATGTAAGTTAATATAAAATTATATGCATTTTTTTACATATACCCTGATAGCCACGCCACAGTACAACAGTTGTAAACAAATTGTCGAAAATCTACAGCCACAATTTGAATACAGGTTAACACCAAAATTTTGGTTAAATTTCCTTTCAACTTGATTAAAATACTTGCACTGCAAGTATTAGCGTCAAATTGCAGAGTAACTTATAGACAACTTTAACCGTTTGGTTTGCAAACTCTTTCCATCAAGTTGGTTACGAATTTCGACAGTAGATTGAATAAAAGTTTGAGTTAAGGTGGCTCTATCAAGATAATTATACATTGTATTGTACACACTGCTGACAGAAAGTTTCCGGATAAGATGAAAATTTATTAAAAGTAAAATAACATAACATTTTCTTTATAGATCAAGTTAATTTTTTTATATATCATATTTAAATTGAAAAGTAAACAAGAAGCTTGTCTGGAAACTTTCCGTCGGTAGTGTAATTAGATAAAAAAATTTTTCCCGGTTACTTTTCAGCATTTTACAAAATAAAAACTATCAAGACACATGAATTAATTTCTATAAAAAGCCTCATTAATACTCGACTGACTAAAACTTTTCCAACAATAACAAGAAGATTCCTTTGAATTAAAAAAAAAATTCGATAACTAAATTAATTAAGTGAAATGCCTTGTATCCACGAACTAAGATCACTAGTGTCCTCACAAATAAGACTCAACCTTTGCTCACTGCTGACTCTAGTCTCATTGCAAAATTTCTTCGACTCAATAAGACTAGCCGCAGCAGTGCGACCAGTCAAATACGCACCGTGAACAGTAGAATAAAAACTAGAGTGGGTATGCTCGCCGGCAAAGGCAACAATAATCTCTTTGCTCCCAGCCTCGGGATCATCCGGATCCTCCGCGACCAAGGGTTCTGCAAGAGCTTCAATATCCAGCTGACTGGAACCAATCGCTACGGCAGTGTAAGACCCGCAAGTCCAGGGCTGAGAAAACCAGCTGGTTCTTAAACAGTTCTTCGGAAGAGGAACAAACGGGTCGTTTAAGAATTTTCGGAGGATCATTGTACACGCATCAGAGATTTCTTTGGTCGTCAACGACTCCATGTACTCTGCCTCGCGACCGGATATCCACGCGAGCAACAATGTCTCTGAGAGTTTTGTGAACGAGTAGATTTTTCTGTACCACGTCTTGCTGATGTCTTTTTCGTTGGTGTCTTCTGAGTCACTCGCAGTGTCATCCCACAGAAGAAGCACTTCAGACACTCCGGGGTTCAGAAACGGGCGATCGTACTCGAGGAAAATTTTGTCCACGGTGCCGAACATCAGTTTGTCGATTGCTTCTTTTTTGTACTGAGGCAGCGGTGGGTTGAAGATTGTCGGGTGCTTTTTTAATACGCCTAGTGGTAATGTACAGATTAGTTGATTGGCAGTTATTGTTTTTCCGTTTGAACAGGTTACACGGATTGAACTTTTTGGTGATTCATCCCCTGCTGGTGATTGCCATCTGTAAATTGGTAAAATTTATTTATTTTTTTGTAAAAATCATAAGGTAAAGTATCAAGTAGTTGTACAGGTTTCAAAGTAAAACGTATTTGACCCTACTTTTAATATATAAAGATGTAATTATTAGTTCAAATTAGTGATTTTAATGAAAATATAAATAATTTTGAATTGATTGAAGCCCAAAATAACGAAGATAATTGAATATTTATATTTTGACAACGTTTTTAAGATAGACTATGAAAGGACTAGTAGTTGAACAATCAATTTTGATGAGCCGCAGTAATTGAACACGCCGGGAGCAGTAGTTGAACTAATAAAATATATAGCAATAGGCACACCAAAAATTTTCAACGATTTATTGAAATATCTAAAGAATTATAACATATTATTGATTAATATTAAAAATATTACTATGAATATTTAATTTTTAATTTGTATTTAATTTTTTAATTACATTTTTTATGAATGACAAAGTAAATTTTCAATTATAAATCAAAAAAACTCAATTCAAAACGTTCAATAATTTTTAAGTACACTAATTTTTAGCTATAAAACTTATCTAATTTGCAGTAATTAATACAAATCACAATGCTGATCACTAGTCTATAAACCTATTAGAGATTAGAGTGCTGTTAAAATTATACGGCCCCAGCTTGTTCAAGTTCTGGGTACCGCTTTTAAAATTTGGAGGTATAGTTAGACGCTAAAATTTAATATAAAAATTTCAGTTTTTGTCTTTGCGAAAAATATGTATTATTTAGAAAAGACTTTTTCATTGGGTGGTACAATTTTTTTTACTTAAAATGATGATATACCGTTTTTTTTACTGAAAGTTCGGTTTACGAATTAGTACCTTTTTCATGAAAAAATAGCATCTATCGGCTATTCTCGACATGTTAACTTTTAAGTTAACAAAAATATAATTCTTTTGATTTATAATTGAAAAAACTTACAGAAATAAATTACTGTATCGGGCGCGCAGTAGCCTATCGGATCCGGCCCTTGCTTACCAAAGCATTGGACCGGGTTCGAGTCCGGCGTACACCAATGAATATTTTCAATATTTAAGTGTATTATACTGCTCAGCCCAAGAAATAAAACGAGTTCCAATCTCAAAAGTTTACCCCCTACCGTAGTCGCTCATGACCTTAGTAGTTTATGCGACTTTAAACAAATTAAGAAAAAAAAAAAAATTACTGTATCATTGAATAATTATAACATGCACATATTACTCATAATAAATATACAAATTTTGTATTACAACAATTCGAAAATTCTGTTTAAGTACTGATTTCATTTTTATAAGTGTTCAAGTACTGGGTACTTTACCTTATTATACAAATTTTAAAGTTGATTAGAGAAAAAAAATTTTTTCAAACGCTTTTTTGGCTCTGTAGAGCTAAAAAGGCGCAAAATTTTACTGTACACAAAAAAAAAAACAATTTAATTAATTCAAGAAAAAAATTCTGTAGTCTAATAAAATTTACTCAAACTAAGAAAAATTTTTCAGTTAAAGAATTTTTTTATGATGCTGAAATTAGATGACAACTGTCATTTTTTAAAATTATTATAACAAATTAATTACAATAAAAAAAAATGCTTAAGAAAATTTCCACTAATAATTTTTTAAAATTTTTACATGTAGAATTTTTTTCATAGTAAATTTATTGCTACAAAATTCTAAAAAAGTTTCTAATGTTTGTCAACTGTAGTCAACCACTTCTTTCCTTGGAAACTCTCGATCCAGTACTCCTAAAAAAATTTTTTTCATTCTGTAAGCAGTGCCTGAAGCCAAGAGAAACTAACACCTAATTTGACTATTTTTCTTGGTTCCTTTTTAGTATTTTTAAACATGACAACTAACAATTGCAATCTTTATTTTTGATCTCATTTAAATATTTTTTCATGTTGAATTATTATGACTTTAAATGAAATTATTTGTTTGTATTAAATGATCTATTTGGATTTCATTACATTTAAAATTGAATTTAATTGTAAGCCTTTAATTAATTAAGTAATCTTGTACTGTGTTATATTATATACAAATGCAAACCTATGTAAACCAATGTATCTTGAATACTAATGGCTTTGAGGGAGCTTAGGTTACAGAGTCAATAAAATTTTTTATTTATCTATTTCTATTTTTTTTTACTATTATTTTATTTCAGTTTTTGATACCAAGTTTGTTCTTAATTAAATTGAAAAATTAAGTAAGCAGATAAATTTGTAAATTAAATCAGTGCCAACTATTCTAAACTCTGTATATAGTTGCAATAAAGCTTGTAACTTGTTATAAGAAACAAAGATTATTATTAATATTATACCTACACGGAAAAAACAAGATTATACTGGATATAATCCCAGATTATACAGAGTGAAATTTTTTTTCAGATAGTAGCTAGTATAATCCAGATAACAATAAGTGTAATCCAGATTACAATGAGTATAATCCAGATATTATCCAGTATAATCTGGATTATACTAGCTACCACCTGAAATTTTTTTTCGCCTCAGATGTCACTGAGTATAATCTGAGATGGTATCCAGTGTCGTCTTGTTCTTTCCGTGTATCATCTCATATTTTTTTACTTAAATTAAGATAAGCTATTAAAAATAATTTTTTTGATTCCAAACTTTTTCTTTCGAATCAAGTAAATTTTTTTTTCTATAAATATTTTTGGATTAATAACAAAATATTTAAAAAATGAACCTTATTTCAGTAACAGGATGTCCCAATAAAATTTTATCCTTAGGAATGTGTTTGGTAACAGGTTCCAATATGCTGCTGTAACCACCAGGTAAACTGATGTTACCTCCTTGCAACTCAGCGTAGCTGCCCATCTCCAACAGGTCAACCTGATCCATACTATCACAGCCAGTAATACAAGTCTCACGTTTCAACAAACAATCGAACAACAATTGCCGCGTTTTACGCTGATCTTCAGGTAGCGACGACAAATACAACGTAGACTCTAATTTAATGTGCTCGCCAACACTGTTGATGCCTTCTGGTGGCATGTAAGCACTTAAAAAATATTCACCACAGCGTCGTAAAAAACACACATATGCTTCATAAATTTCCTGGAGAATTGGAAACGGCAATTGCTTCCCGTCTTCCATCGCTGCTACTACTTTATGCGGCTTTGGACAGTTTATTATGTTTATCAAGCCGTTTGCCATCGCTAGCTCGAATATTGGGTTGCCCAGCACTCCGTGGATCCAGTTTGCGCCTAATTCGATATTGTCTTCACCTAAACAGGGAAGAAATAATTTTTAAAAATTCTTTTTTATCTTTTATAAGTAATAATTATTCAAGATTAGGGTACAGAAAATTTTTTTTAAAAACATGAGTGAGTTATTAAGTTAGGTTACCTATTTTTGTCGAACAGATCCGTCCACCGATGCGATTCCGCGCTTCAACAATTACAAAATCATTGAAGTTATTTTTTAACAAGTGATTTGCTGCTGATAGACCAGCCATGCCACCACCAATTATACATATTTTATAATTATTTCGGTCATCCACTGATTCTCCTGTGGACGCCGCCATTTTTAAATGTCAACATTTAATGGCTAAGTCGTATGTTGTGTGTTGGATGCCTATAGATATGAATTTCAATGGAATTATTACCAACAATAGGCAATTAATTAGTCATTAAATAAATTTTTAGTTTTTTTTTTTTTTTTTTTTAAATAAATTAAAAAAATGAATGAAAATTAAGTTAGCCGACATTTAAAAATTTGTAGAACTTTTTTTATTGAAAAAATGATTACAAAAAAAATAAAAAAAAAATTTCACTTGTAAAAAATTTTAAAAACTATAAGTGCAATTTTTTAAAAATATTTTTTTGTTCTAATTTAAGTATTAAAGAACAAATCAAAACATTAAAAATGTCAGCTAACTTCAGTTTCATAAAAAATGAACATTAATTTAGGTGAAAATTAATTTAGTAGATATTTAGTAATTTAAATAATTTTGGTGATAAATAATAAATTATTGCAAAAAAAATTAGAAAAAGAAATTGACTGGTCAAAATTTTAACAGCTACATGTTAAATGCAATTTTTTATGAAAATTTTAAGTTAGCCGAGATTTAAAAATTTTAAGAATTTTTTTTTATTAAAAAAATTATTGCAAAATAAAAAAAAATTTTCATTTGTAAAAAACTTGAAAAACTCTAAGTGCAATTTTTAAAAATATTTTTTATTCTAATTTAATAATTAAAAAAAAAAAAATTAAAAACATCGGCTAACTTTAGTGTTATAATTTTTTTTTATTATTTTTCTGAACAAATTTATTTGTTAAAAAAAATTTAAGTGGTCAAGTGACTGCTAACTTTAATGACATTGAAATTAGCCGGTATCAGAAAATTTTTATAATTTTTTAATTGAAAAAAATTAGGGTAAATGCATTATTGACCGATTAAGGTTTTCTTTTTCTGTACTAAGCTATAAAAAATCTATTAACCTACTAAAAACAATTTGTCATGGATTTTATTAAAGTTAAATACTTAATCAATAATAATTAATAACTATTTATAATAAAAATTAACAAAATTATATTAATTTTGTTATTTGAATCTTGAAATACTAAAATCACCAATTATTGACCGAAGAAACCCAATAAAT